AGCATTATGTTTAACATATATCTATCTATCTAGCTAGCTAACTATCTCCGTGGCTTCGTTATCTATCTACCTATATATCTCTCGATCTATCTCAGTCTCTTCATTATCTATTGCTATATACCGTACATATGAAAACTAATGGGTCCCAATCCTCATAAATACGTTGGACACTGTTGTAAGTGGGGGTAATATGCTGTCTAAGTAGTCCACCACTAGCAGTGGTTTATCTACTTCACGCCGCTGGCGAGTATTTTTTGATGTGATAAAGATACCATTTTATTTACAACCTCGGTTATTCGTCAATCAGTAACCCTTTCATAGGTTACAACATCTATCTATCTATCTATCTATCTATCTATCTAAGTATTCCACAACTAGAAGGAGTTTACCTACTACTCGCCGCTGGCGAGTATTGTATTTTTTGATGTGATAAAGATATCATTTCATTTCTAACCTCATTTTGTTTATTCCACAATCAGTAACCCTTTCATAGGTTACAACATCTATCTATCTATCTATCTATCTATCTATCTATCTATCTATCTATCTATCTATCTAAGTATTCCACAACTAAAAGGGGTTTACCTACTACTCGCCGCTGGCGAGTATTGTATTTTTTGATGTGATAAAGATACCATTTCATTTCCAACCTCGTTTTGTTTATTCCACAATCAGTATCCCTTTCATAGGTTACAACATCTATCTATCTATCTATCTATCTATCTATCTATCTATCTATCTATCTATCTCACCCACTACATATCTATCTATCTATCTATCTATCTATCTATCTATCTAAGTATTCCACAACTAGAATGGGGTTTACCTACTACTTGCAAGAAGGACTTAGGAAACCAGCGAGTAAGCCAGCTGATGCAAGGGATTACAGAGCTACAGAGGTATGGAAGCAGTGGAGAGCCGTCTGCGTAGTTTTCGTTGAAATAAATCGAAAGTATTTCCTCCTGGAAATGACCGCTTTCTTTTGATGTCTCGCGAATGATAACCGCTACAATGTGTTGCCCGTAAACTTTTTCTCACATTTAATCGGCGTTGTTGTCTGTTTATCGCTATTAAGCAAGTAAAACACAGAGGTAAATACGATAAGAAAATAAATTTAATAACTATAAGCAATAAAGTAAATAATTTATGAGTTCGGCACGATAAATAAAGGCAAATAAGATTAATCATTGGGTGATCAAGTATATTGAGAAAGGAACTTATAAAAACACCTTCCATTTTCCACTTAGATCTCATTTGATAGGCATTTTACGGATGTCTTTCATTTAATATACTTGGTGCGAAATGATAGATATCGCGTACGTCTGGCATCTATCCATCCATATACGCACACACTCGCTTGCACGCCCGTGTAACCCTCCTTATATATATATATATATATATATATATATATATATATATATATATATATATATATATATATATATATATATATATATATATATATATATATATATATATATATATATATATATATATATATATATATATATATATATATATATATGTGTGTGTGTGTGTGTATACAGACCACACACACAAGGGGTGCTCGGCTGAGGATCGAACTGACTCAACAATATGAACTGATGAATGAAAGAAATGAATGAAGCGGCCGTAATAGATAGATAGATAGATAGATAGATAGATAGATAGATATAACAGACTGTCAAAGAAAGAAAGAAAGAAAGAAAGAAAGAAAGAAAGAAAGGAAGGAAGGAAGGGAAAAATTTAAAAAATGAAGCGACCGTGATAGATAGAATTGTTCGGATAAAAACAGTTAAAAAATGCTTATCAATATAATCGATTTATACTTTTTTTTTTTTATCTCGGCCCCGTTACTGGCTCTCTTGCCTTCTTTGATATTTGCTCTTTCTTCATTCATAATTTTTCTCCAATGAAGCGAGAAATTTTAGATTAAACACTGAAACATTTATGATCCTCCTACAACATAATTTGTTCGTTACTTTCTGAACAGGATTGTTGACTTATCAACAGGCAGTTATTAGCCCACTCGTCAGTATTACAACTGGTCATTTATAAGTAATCGGCAAATGCACTGCTAATGGCTTTATTAAACTTTCGTTCAGAGAAGATGAAAATCACACTGAAAATCGTACGTTTTTGTAATCAGTCTGAACAAGAATAAACACGGGCATCATATGGGGGTTCAATTTTGTATAATAACAATGATAAAATTATCTTCCATTTCATAGCCAGAGTAGATTCAATATATTTCTTTAATTCAAAAAAATGAAAATAACACGTTTTTGTAATCATTATGAGATTAATAAGAACATATACCGAAAAGTGTGAAACAGGAATTCCTTCAATGAGTCTACTGGAATCTTTTCGAACCAATCCGAGGGCTCCAACTTCAACAAGGATTGTTGATGTTCCCATATGGCACGTGTTCTCATGCGTCAATTTTTGAGATTTCGATTTCAAGGTCCTTGTATTTTGATTATTATTATTATTATTATTATTATTATTATTATTATTATTATTATTTCCTTTGATTTCTGATATTTTCGCATTTCTTTCCGGGTCCCGCCCAGAGACCTAAGGTCAGAAATGTCATCATGAAAAAAATACACACACACATATTTTACATAGATAAAGCCCTTCGTATTGTGTGGGTTGTAATCTTGTGACCAATTTGTGTATTTCTTTAAGATAAGAACTTCCAGGAATCCCTTGAATTAATCTATTGGAATCTTTTTCAGCCAATCCGTGGGCTCCAACTACAAAAGGGATAGTTGATGCTCCAGTGTGCCACATTTTTGAGATTTCGATTTCAAGGTCCTTCTAATAATTATTATTATTATTATTATTATTATTATTATTATTATTATATCTTCCTTTGATTTCTAGTGTGTCCACATTTCTTTTCACTGACCAATTAAAAAAAAACATATTTTACATAGCCCTTCGTAAAGTGTAGGTTGTACTCGTGAGAACATTTTTATGTAATTTTAGAAAAACATTTTTTTCTATTTTGAGAACTTTTTTTGTATTTTAGAACAATTTTTTGGTATTTTTCCTGATTAAGGATCGAACTTGGATCCATATTATTAGTCTGAGCGACTGCACTTCTGGCTATTATGCTAGGCGGACAACAATTATTCTCAGTGAAAAGCTAAATTACTCAAGAGTGTAGTCGAGATCGGCTCTCCACATTTTCCTGACTCCTTGGGAATGGTATTACCGTACATTTTGCATTCCCCACACTTTTGAATCCATTGTCTTCCATACGTGATTTCGTCACACGGTCATATATGGTCAAAATATATATATATATATGTGTGTGTGTGTGTGTGTGTGTATGTGTGATGAAATACGCGACTCGTATTAGTGTTTGGTGACTAGGATTGCTCTTTCGTCATGGGCGGTCTCCGTTCTGTCCCTATAAATTTGTCTTCAGCCATTATTATGTCATATCGTATTGGCTTTATTTTTTACTGATAGTCAAACCCGCCGTCTTTTCAACGAGAGACAAGTTTTCTAGCCGTAATAAATAGTACAATGCATATGGTCGGCATCGGCTAATTTTATTGTCCTCAGTAGGGAAATTTTGCCCACTACTTGTCAATGACAGTGAGGAAGAGGCGAGTTTCGAGAAACTCCCCCAGTCCTAGAATTGCAGTCTCATACCTTACGAGGAAAAGATTATCAGTGATGAATTTGGAGGAAATTTTGTCATGAAATTTCGCCTTTTTATTATTCTCCTATTTTTTTGTTTTTTGCGGTTTTTTTAGGAACTTGTCATCATACTTATTATAAAACCCAGGTTGTGTGTGTGTGTGTGTGTGTGTGTGTGTGTGTGTGTGTGTGTGTGTTCGTTTATATATTGGGTCGGATTTCCTACATTTTTCAACCGATTTCAACAAAACTTCACAGGACTATGTAAAATTACCTTGCGGTGGTTCTGACAGCGCCAAAAATTGGAAAAACACAATTGTTTTTGCACGAAATCAATTTGAAAACACGATTCTGTCGCCAGAATGAAAGGGGGACAACTCATATCGAGTTATACTTATTATAAAACCCAGGTTGGTTGTGAGTGTGTGTCTGTGTTCGTTTATATATGGGATCGGATTTCCTACATTTTTCAACCGATTTCAACAAAACTTCACTTTTTTTGGCAGGTAGTGTTTCTTATTCTCTTGCACACTTTTTTCTTTATTTTTACATTCAGAATGCTTTAAAAATTCCATTTACAAGACAATTGTTTATAATAAAATTCTATTCAATCGGTAGACTCATCACGATTGAAAACAATGTTTTTGAGTTTTGGTTTGACCAAATCGTAAAAAAAAAAACAAACAAAAAAAAAAAACTAATTAAGACATGCGTGTCCGTCAACCTTAAACAATAACCTTTGTCAATTTTATTTTTCAGTCTTTATGATGGTCGATACTTGATCTATCTCTTACTGTTACATCCCCGGGAAACGCCGGGGTCTACTGCACGTTCCAAATAAATATTTCTAACTTTTTTTTTTTTTAAAGAGATTTATTCCTCCTAATTCGTAGATTATACTTTTCTGTTTTACAAGCATTTTTATCTTAGCGAGGTTGCCACCCCAGGCAAACAGAACTTATAGCTGGAGGTAATAGCTGGGTTACTGTCCTTTTTTTTCAGGGCCATATTGCGAAAGAACTGAATGTAGTACTTGAAACCTGCTTGCTGATTTTGCTTTTAGCGCCCCACATCATTTTCTTTGATGGGAACTCGAAATTAAAAAGACGGATACAATGCCGATAGCGATCCATAGAACAAGGTCAGTTGTTCTTTTCTCTGGGCATCATTAGCTTTATTTTCTAAGATCAGAGACACGGAACTCCTAGCAAGGAACGAAACCCACTCCGGCGATAATGGATTGCGAGATTACATTCGCTTCAAAAGTAGGTGCCTCATAGTTGTTAATAGTTAATTTTTTTTTTTTTTGCCGTCATGAAGAACTGGAAATTGGAGAAATGAATATGGTGCCGATAGCCATCCGTAGAGCAAGTTGCAATGCTCAGTTCTATGCGTATCGTTACACGTACAACTGGGGATCGGTAATTGTGTTGGCAACTTTAATTACAGTGAAAAAGATGTAAACATCGAAGAGATATAGTTCGACAAATAAGCCCTACGGCCCATATCTATCATTTACCGATATTTGGTATAGTCTCTCTCCTCTATCCTCTCTCTCTCTCTCTTTCTTTCTCTCTCTGTGTCTGTGTGTGTGTCTCTCTCTCTCTCTGACGTTCTCTCTCTATACACACACACACACACACACACACACATATATATATATATATATATATATATATATATATATATATATATATATATATATATATATTTCCTTTCTATATTAATCATTCCTGCTTCCATCCCATTCTGCCATTATCTTTTTTTTTCTCTCTTTCTTCATCTCATTTATCTTGGGGTGCTTCATTGATTTCTTTCTCTTTCTGTCTCTCTTTCTTCAATTCTCACGTTTTTCTCTCTGTGTTTCTTTCTTTTTTTTTCTTTTTCTCTACTTTTCTTTCTTCTTTTTTTTTCTTACTCTCATTCAATTCCTTACAGATATCTGTCCCTTTTCTAATCTTTATCTGTTTTCTTTCTTTCTTTCTTTCTTTCTTTCTTTCTTTCTTTCTTTCTCCTCCGTCTTTCTTTCACTTTTCCGATTCCCTCTGTCTTTTTTTCTTTCTTTCTTTCTTTCTTTCTTTCTTTCTTTCTTTTCTGATTCCCTCAATCTTTTTCTTTCTTTCTTTCTTTCTTTGTTTCTTTCTTTGTTTCTTTCTGTCTTTCTTTCTATTCCTTCCACTTTTCCGATTCTCTCTGTCTTTTTCTTTCTTTCTTTCTTTCTTTCTTTCTTTCTTTCTTTCTTTCTTTCTTTCTTTCTATTCCTTCCACTTTTCCGATTTCCTCTGTCTTTTTCTTTCTTTCTTTGTTTCTCTCTTTGTTTCTTTCTTTCTTTCTTTCTATTCTTTCCACTTCTCCGATTCCCTCTGTATTTTTCTTTCTTTCTTTCTTTCTTTCTTTCTTTCTTTCTTTCTTTCTTTCTTTCTATTCCTTCCACTTTTCCGATTCCCTCTGTCTTCTTTCTTTCTTTATTTCTTTCTTTCTTTCTTTCTTTCTTTCTTCTCCTCTTCTTCTTCAATCTCTATTTTCCTTTGTATTTTCTTGTTTTTTCATCTCTCTATTTGTTTCTTTCTCTACATTTCCCTTTCTTTCTTTTCCCTCTTCCTTTTTTCCCCTGTATATTTCTACCTCTCTTTCTATTCCTTTACTCTTTTCTGTCGCTTTCATTCTCTACATGTATCTTTCTTTCTTTTCCTTTCTCCCTCTTTCATTCCCTCTTCCTTTTTATTTCATATTTGGTTTCTTTTTCAATCTCTCTCTCCCCCTCCCTGTATTTTTATGTTCTTTTTACATCTCTCTCTCTCTCTTTCTCCCTCTCTCGCTTTCTCTATCTTTTCCAAATAAAATTCAAAATCTTACAACATTTTTTCGAATCAAAACTAAATGTCTGCAGATGTGGAAGCCATTTTCAAAGATGGCGTCATCAACATGTTTTTGAAGAACGTCTGCACTTCGAGATGGGCACCATGAAAGCTTTTGTTGGAATTTACAGACAAAAAATTCAGGCTAAGGGTTTCTTTTTTCTTTTCTTTTTCTTTCTCTTTTTCTTCTTCTGCCCCCCCCCCCAAAAAAAAAAACAAACTTTTTTTTTGACTGGGAGCTATTCAACTTTTGAATCCGTTCGCTAACGAATTCGGCGATATGATAAAAGAGATTTTTACACAGGTTCGTTAATGTTGACACTGGGGAAAAATTAAAATGACACTGCAAGGTTCCGGTAATGGAGGGGGTGGGGGATTGTTATTATTATTATTATTATTATTATTACTACGATGTATATAAACTGGTTAGAGAAAATATACACATTCGTCTTCATACATGGGCAATCATTGTTGAGGAAACGTGGATATACATACCTACATAAACAGACAGATAGATAGATAGATAGATAGATAGATAGATAGATAGATAGATAGATAGATAGATAGATAGATATGAACAAAAGTCGGATATAGATAGATAGCTAGATAGCTAGCTAGCTAGCTAGATAGATAGATAGATAGATAGATAGATAGATAGATATGAAAAAAGTCGGATATAGATAGATAGATAGATAGATAGATAGATAGATAGATATGAACAAAAGTCGTATATAGATAGATAGATAGATAGATAGATAGATAGATAGACAATAGATACGAACAAAAGTCGGAGAGAGATAGATAGATAGATAGATAGATAGATAGATAGATACTACACAGCCTTGCCAGGGTGATATGTTTAGAAGTCCAACCATTAAAGATCTTACTGATTTTCAGAGCACAACCTGTTTGCACTTAAATAGATTGAAGTATGAACATATTCACACACACACACACACACACACACACACACACACACACAGATATATATATATATATATATATATATATATATATATATATATATATATATATATAAAAGAAAAACAAGAGCGCTTGGTGGAATCAACGGACAACTTGCCAAAACATAAAACACTTATCCAGATACAGTCTCGAATAAAACCGCCAATACATAAAAAAGAAAGAGGAAAAAAAAAGGCCTGAAGGCAAACTTACCTAATCAGTAAAGTGCTCGAAGCCCAGATTAAGAGCGTTAAATCCAGTTAAATGATGTCTACAGTTGTAACCCGAGTCTCACGAGATCGTCAGGCGACTTGAATATTTATATACATATGTGTGCGTTTGTGTTTTGTGTGGGTATAATGACATAGTGAACGTAAACACAAAAAATAATGATATACGCTGACACACATATATATTTATCAATTTAAAAGTTATTTTAAGTGGATAGCCATATATGAGTAGACGCGCCATTTATTTTTTAAACAGTATATTTATTTTCTTCACAAGCTGAAGATTCGAGAAATATTATTAAGGAAAGATAAATCCTCCGGCAGGATTCGAATCGGATTCAGTAGATTTTATTTCTCTTTCGTAGTTCAAAATGGAGCATGCAGACTTTGTTTCTTTTATCTTTATTCAGACTCTAAAAGAGATTTCATTCGTTTTAGACATACAGAAAACAACAACTTGGACTGATATATAACAATGATCGCTTTTCTTACGTGCCTTATTAGCATGCAAATTTTCACATTTTGTTTTCTTCAGTAGTTCCGGCAGTTTCACCGACACAAACACCAGTACGTCGACAAACGATGAAAAATTCTTCTATCCAGTCAATATTTGTTTAGGTTATTCAAGTTTCCTTTAATTAGACATCAATTCTTCTTCTCAAGAAGTTTAGTAATATTGTTAAACATTCTATGTCTATTGAATTTACCTATCGTCTTTTCCAAACAGTGAATTACCTTTCGCAAACATGTCTGTTTCAGATGCAAAAATATATCCAAAATCAAGAGATCCTGATAGATCAACGTTTCGACTGTCATGATTCATCTTCAGCATTAAAGTATCGCAAAGGAAATATATATATATATATATATATATATATATATATATATATATATATATATATATAGTTTGTCTGACGATCGCTAAACCGTGAAACCCAGGGTTACAAACTCACATCTATCCAACCAAATATGTTAGCTCTATCTCTGATATTGAGCGCTTTCTAATAAGTACCGTGCATATAATATATAAATAATTATACATATATATATTTATTTATATTTATATACACTTTTCAAACACACACACACACACACACACATATATATATATATATATATATATATATATATATATATATATATATATATTTCTTACTTGAAACTGAATAAAAAAGCAAACAATTTTTCCATTTCTTTAATATTTCAAATTCAAAAAATATACCGACACTTTCAATATAAGAAGCATCTTAAAACACTTCCGTTCACTTTAGCTTTTCACCCCTGAAGATGACACATGTGAGTCGAAAGATTTGATATCATTGTTTTCGGATATTTGTGTATCGATTGGCCTATCCAAAACGATAGATTTTTTTTTAATATATATATATATAAGTAATTCGTCGAGTCTAAAAGAAATCTCAACAGAATGCACTGGACGGCCATTCCGTCCTATGATTCAGACTACATCAGCAGTGTGCATCCACTACCGAGAATTGAAACCCTGACAGTTTGGTTTTTAAGAAAACACCATACCAACTGTACCAACGGGCCTCGGAGACGGAGCGGTTGCAAATCAGACTAAATATAGCGCCGCTCGGTCACATATTCCGTGGTGGAACGATACTGCGTTCTCTGTAACCATAGGACTGTGCCCCCTGGAGCCACGAATACTCTCACCAAGCCGCTCACTCTAGAGCATTAGAAGCCTGTTCAAGCAATGATGTACATGGTAGAAATCATTAGGATGATTTGATAATTATATTTAAGTAATTCATCGAGTCTGAAAGAAACCTCAACAGAATGCATCAAGCGCTGGACGGCCGTTTCGTCCTATATTTGGGATTCATCAGCAGTGCGCATCCACTACCGAGAATTAAAACCCTGACAGTATATATATATATATATATATATATATATATATATATATATATATATATATATACACTAGAATAACTATCAACGACTTTCCGACAGTTTTTTTTCTAAAATGTTTTACTTACAAGAATTGGATCAATTCGAGTACGGTTTTCAGGCCATTCTCCCGTAGACCAATTTTTGATCGAGTAAATTTAGAGCCTTAAACCTAATTTGGCTGCTGATTAGTATAACCACACTTTCAAATAAGGAGCAACTTAAAACACTTTCATTCACTTTAGCTTTTCACCCTGACTATTTTACCCATATCGGGGGAGAGAAGAAATGGGATAAAGTGTATTAGCACGTGACTGAATGTCATAGATCCGCCTAGAATTCGATCCCGTTTGACCGATTTCTAAATCTTTTACTCCATCGTGCCTAACTCTTTCTGATTTAAACTTCTTTTATTATTGTCGCTCCTGAATACACTTTCTCTTTCTTCTCATTCTTTCATACTACGTAACCGCTTTGTCTTAGAGGCTTTATTGCCTTACATGGGATAATATGATTTTAAAAAGAAAATTAAAGGAAGATTAAAACAAGAATGTCTAGAAATCCTGGTCTGCACTGAAGCAGAAACATTTTTGAAAAGATTTTAATACATTTTGACAATTTTGGGTTTGGAAAAACTGAATTCAGCAACCTCACCGTATCATAAGAACAATCGTAGAGATAATGATTTTTACGATAAATACAGGAATGGTTGCGTCTAAAGCTGTTCTTTGGTGCCTGGCATATGGCACCACATACGGATAATTATAAACAAATAATATATTTCTTGAATAACACATTTCATTATCTAATTCGGTAGTCGTCAATTTCATTGTTTCAATTTTTGAGATTTCGATTTCAAGGTCCTTGTATTTTGATGGCTTTTTGAAGATCTTCAAAGATACATTGCAGTCTGCAGAGACTGCCGTATCAATAAGTCACTTTTTTGTTTGCGGTCTCTAATAATAATAATAATAATTATTATTATTATTATTATTATTATTTCCTTTGATTTCTGGTATATATTCATTTCTTTCCGGGTCCCGCCCAGAGACCTAAGGTCAGAAATGTCATCATGAAAAAAAGACACACGTACATATTTTACATAGATAAAGCCATTCGTAAGGTTTGGGCTATACTCGTGAGAACAATTTCATGTAATTTTAGGACTTTTTTTTTCTGTATTTTGAGAACATTTTTTTTGTATTTTATTACTTTTTTTGTTGTATTTTTTAACATTTTTTGTATTTTTTATTCTTGTTATTATTATTATTATTATTATCATCATCATCATTCGATTTTGATTATGGACACATACCTACCAAGTCTGCGGAAAGACCTACCTGAGGTCGTGGTGTGTTGTTATGACATTTTCCATTAATTTTTTTTTTTTTTTTTTTTTATCTCCGATAAAAGTTGCTAGCGTTACATAGATAAAGTTCTCCTTAGTGTGTGGCTGTACATTTAAGACAATTTTTGTATGTCTCTTTTTGGGGTTTCCAGGGATTCTTTCAATGTTGTTTGTTCCATTTTTTATTTCCAATGCACCTATTACCACTGGTATTATTCTTGTTTTCAATTTCCACATTTTTTCTATTTCAATTTCCAGGTCTTTGTATTTTGATAGTTTTCAAATTCCTTGGTTGCTATGTTACAATCCGCTGGACAAGCCATATCAATTAGTAGGTTTTTTTTTTTCTGGTTTTTGACAATGATGTCTGGCCTATTTGCTTCAATTTTTCTGTCTGTGTGGATGGTATAATCCCATAGAATGGTGACATCTTCTTATTTCTGTAACCGGCGCTGGCCGATGTTCCATACCAGTGTTTGCTTACACATTTTCCAAAGTGTTTGCACATTGTCCAGTGTAAGTATTGCCCCA